GAACAGCTCTGGGGTAGCTGGAAACAATTGCTTCCCAAAGCATCCCATTATGCCCCAGGGGTAACAACCATGATAACAGAATGAGCATTGGGGTAGCTTGTAAACCCATCAACAGGTTTAGCTTTCATAAACAGGGCACAAGTTAATAAGACAAGGAATCCCAGAATTGCTTTGCCTCAGCGTGTGTGCTTTGTATTATTATATTTTAATAATGCAATATATGCTTAAAAGTATGTAGGCACATGGGACCAAACAGGATCACTAATAATTTAATAATATACTGCCTCTGCTTAGCTGTATTTTCCATATAAGGTAAAAGTCCCATATAAGTTTGAAATTGCAGGAGACACAAGTGTATTCAATGTCACTTTGCAGTAAAGGGTAACTCAGCAGACTTTGGTTGCTCAAAGCCTGCACATTCCTAACAAAGTCTAGTATCTAGGAGGACTGGTCCTTGACTGGCTCCTGAGATAACTTATGAGCCTTTGGAATACGTAGTGTCTTGATAAGAGTTCCATGATTCTCCGAGGCTGGGGCATCAGGTTTGATCTCAGGGGAGGAGGCGTCTGGAGATCAAGCAGCTAGGGTCAGTCTCCTTGGCACTGTGCGACCATGTGACTGATCATGCCCCATAACTCAGAGGAACACGTTCATCTCTACACTTCTTTGTGTATGTGGTGTATATTTGTGTTCATGTGGGTGGGTGCTTTGTGCATGTGGAATTCTGTGTCTTTGCACATGGAAGCCAATGGTCAATGTTGGGTGTCTTTCTCGATCTCTCTCCACCTTATTCTTTAGGTGAGGATCTCTGACTCTGGAGCTCATCAATTTGGCTAGGTTGGCTGGCCAATGAATGATCTCTGGTCTCTGGGGAGCTGCCTGTCTCCACCTCCCATCTCAGTGCAGGGATTACAAATGTACGGTGTGCTTTGTCATTTAGCTGGATGCTGGGGCTGGAACTCGGGTCCTCCTGCTAACACAGCAGGGCTGAACCATCTCCCCAGCTCCTTCCTTCTACTTCTGAAGTTTGGTTACAGCTGCTTGTCCGGAGCTCAGTTGTTACTCTTGTAGGAAGGAAAGAAGAGATCCAAGCAGTCCTAGCCAGAGTAGGTAGGGCATTGCCAGCACTAGGTGTTCTCGGCCTGTGTTCTGGATTCCCACTGTTGACACCGTAGGCATTTGGCCTTCACCTTTCTGTGCATGCCATGTTAGCTTCCACCTGCCTGCACCTGTGTCCTCTTGCCTGTGGCCATTTGGGACCTGTTTGGATGCAGTGGAGGCCAGAGTTACTGGGGAAGTGCTCTCTCTGTCTGAGGCGAAGAGTCATCAGTGAGTATCCCAAGGTTATCCACTTTGCTGTTGAAAGAAGGGGTATCGTCTTGGGACACCCCCAGACCAAGTTCTCAGCGCAAAGGAGATTTATTTGTCCCAGAGGGTCAGAGGGCAGGGAATAAGAGACAAAGACAGGGGATAGAGGATGAGGGAGAAGGGGGTGGGCACAAGGGAGAGGGGGAAGCACATCCCCGGGAGAGGGACAAAGGACCGCCTCTGGATAGAGAGGAGACAGATGTGGCCCATAGGAAAACGGTGGTTTAAAAATGTGAAAGGGGAAACCCCGTGTTAGGGTGAGGTGCTTAATTTTAATTGGGCATGTTAATTAGGGCAGCCACAAGGGGGATTCTGATTGTTGGCCTTCAATACTTCGATAGCTAGACCTGGGTAGTCAGTCTCAGGAGGAGGAAGTGGCCAAATAAGGGAGTAGACCTCAGTGGCCAGCTTTAGAAATGTAAGCTAACGGATTTTAGCAAGGCAGAGGGAGTGGGGAGAAGGGCAGGGCCTGCCAGAGCCACGTTTGTCAGGCTCGGGCTGGCTAGAGTCCCCCTTCAGCTATTGAGCTAGGACTCTGCCTCCCAGAATTCCCCACACCCCTGCAAGATGCCATGGCCGCTGTCTGGGGGAGGAACTTTTGTGCCCTCCAGTGGCTTCTCTCTCCTTCCTGTTGCTTTCCCGTTACCCTGTCAGTGTTTCCTGAGACCCTCCCCACAACTCCTGTACTTGTCTTTACCTCAGTTTGCTTCTGAGGAAAATCCGTCTATGCTCGCACCCCAATGTCTGTTTCTCTTTCCCCCACTTCCTCCCTGCTATACAGACCAGGCTCCAAGTTGGGCAGAAATTATCTGTAGATGCAGCTAACCATTTCTAAGACCAGCTGTCCTGGGGCTCCAGGCAGCTAGAGGCACCGAGGTAGAGGGTGGCCCTTCGTGATCCAGACCCACCTTTGTGTTCCATCTGCTGTTCCAGTTACAACCCCACCACGTGTACCCAGATGGGCTGCTGGGACAACGTGCGTCCTTAAAGGAGTATCTAGATTCTAGTTCCAGCTCTGCCACGTCCTAACCCGTGGTTTCAGTTTCTAGGCTTCAATTAACTTCTCTGCAAACTGAGGGGGTCGGAGTGGGTAACCTGTAAATCCCCACATACTGTCCACATCCGTATTTGTTAAATAGTGGGGAGAGGCAGGTGACGTGTCTTGAGGGGAGATGTTTGATGCATGGTTATGAGAGGCTGTGTGACCCTTCCCCCTCTCCATGTGGAGCTTGCTGGTTTAGCAAAACCCCAGCTTTCACATTAGCTTCCCAATTGCCTATTCTAACCATTCCAGCTGAAAGTCTGACTTTGGTGCAGGAGAAACTTAGAAGCAATATAGTGGATGCTATAAAGGATTTACTAATAAACTCACTTAAGAAATACTAAGTTACATGAAGTAGAATTTAGCTAAAGGGACATGGCATCCAATATAATTGGAAGATAAGTAGTGTACTAACCAGGGTGGGAATGTGTGACTAGTAAACCATGACTAGAAGGTTGAGGAGATCCTGGAACTCACTCTGTAGCCCAGGCTGGCCTCGAACTCACAGAGATCCACCTGGCTCTGCCTCCCTAGTGCTGGGATTAAAGGTGTGCGCTACCACCGCCAAGCAAGGCATCTTGTTTTAGGGCTCAGCAAACTTCTGCACAGGGTCAGCTATAGAATGCCTCAGGCTTGTGGGCCATGTGGTCACTACTGCAACTTCTCAGCTCTGCTGCTGAGGCATGGCAGACCAAACTATACCTTCGATGAGGATGGAGGGGAGAAGGGACCCTTAACCTTGGGCACAGAACTTAAGGAAGCCAAAAAACCTCAGTAAACCAGATAAATATTTTAATGCTGTTATTTCCCAAATGGAAAATTTTATTTAAAAGGCCTCCTTAAGATAATATATCAAAAGTTCAAATACAGAATCAGGAGATATCTGAATGCATGTACGTAGTTATGTTTCAATAAAACCCTTTGGCATGTAGGTGAGTTTGCTGTCTCATATTACACAGTCTTCGTGGGGCCCTTTCAGGAAGTGTTCATCTTAGCATCATGTGGCTAGGTTTAATTGTGATATATTCCTTTTGGGGTCCCTTTTCTCCCTTCTCTTAGTTCTTCTTTGGTGCTATTTGGGCTGCTCATCTCCCTCTGTTTTTCTATCCCTATTACATTCTAAAACATTTTAATAGCTCAGGCTTCCAAATGGACATACAAGTTTCTCTAACAAGAACAACTCAACAAGGTTTCTGTCCTGACTGTGGGCTCTGTCTTCACTCACACCACCTAGGTAGGGCGACATCCCTAGTGGCTGCCTGAAGCTCTGCATAATACCCAGTCCCATACACAAACACTAAGGTAACAGCAGCTTTCATGACCAAGATAGTTACAGAAGTGACCACGAGGGTCAGTGAAGTGAATATACTTGACAAAGGATGATTTGGGTCCCAGTGGGGGCACAGTGGAACCATGTGAGCCTTCGTTGTGCTTTAGAATTGTGTGGAATGTAAAACCAATGAACCGTTTATTTCTGGACTCCTCTAGTAACTACCTTCAGACTGCAGTTGACTGTGAGCACTAACCGAGACGGCGGGTAAGGGGCACCGCTGTACACTTGGCAGGTGGTTTGGAGAGAATCTGATAAATGGCTCACAAGCCCGCTCATCTTGGCATAGGTGCATTTCAGTAGCCGTGTGTTCTAGCCAAAGAGCCTTCCTGAGAAGTCAAACAGAAACAAAAATTGGAAACTCTGTGGTCGGTTATTTGTTGGGTAATGGATGAAGCCAGGGCTTATGGTGATATTTTATTTGCACTGAAATGTGATTTTAATTGTATGTTAATAAAGTTGCCCAGGGGTCAGAGCTATTAGAGCCATAGCGAAAGCTGGGTGGTGGTGGTGCACGCCTTTAATCCCAGCACTTGGTAGGCAGAGCTAAGTAGATCTCTGTGTTCAAGGATACAGCCAGCGTTGGAGACACACACCTTTAATCTCAATACCAACCATAGAAGACCTGGAGGTCTGTACAGAAAGGCAGTGATGAGGCAGTCATGTGGTTGGGTTTACAACCAATGAGAAGGCAGAACAGAAAGACTATATAAAGACAAAAACACAGGAAGTAGGTCTCTTGGCTGAAGAGGCTAGCTGCAGCAGACGGGTAAGGCTCTTAGCTCTGATCTCTTGGCTTCTTCTTTGCATTGGTTCTGTGTTTCTTATTTACTAAGACAGTTGGTTACATCTACAAGGGCTCATATTGACACAGGTGTTACAAAGCAGTCAGCTTCAGATGGATGCAGCCTTAGGTAGGTACCTGTGATGGGTGTGGCACAGCTGGCTATTTGAGACAGGTTGTCTCTGCAATTTCATGATGTTGAGACCTCCTATGACAATAAGGAAGGACCAACCCCTATCAGAGGTTTGGAGGTGACATCAAGATAGAAATCCACAGTTAATTTTGGAGTCATTTACTGATCTCACATTTGTGGATTCTCCCCTTCCAGACCCCCCCACCCCCACCCCCACATCCTCACCCCTCCAAACACTGGCCTTCCTGGTGCAGGGAGAAGCCAATGAGGCTCTCATGACTCAACCATGGCAAAAGACAGGGTCAGATAAGACGCCAATTAATATGGCAATTCATGATGAATCTACGTTCCAATAAAAGTTTATTTGGCTCATCCTGATCAAGTTTAATAATATGTAACAGATTATTTTAAGAACATGAATAATGATAACAATTCTCCTGTAATAACAATTCTCTGTGAACTCAGGGTCAATCAGCAGCATGTCCCTTTACTCAAAAAGTAAAGTTTCCCTCTGAGGTCAAATGGCACATGAGGAAAGGTGGTGTGCATTGCATTTTCTTAAAGAAAAAAAAAAAAAAAAGGAAAACCTAAACACTTTGTATTTACATATTTTCCATTTAAAACTGGTCAGTGTGGTTGCTTCTGTTTTAAAATATAAGTTTCTAATGCCTCATAGGTTTCAATATACAAACCATAGTTAGCTAGATTTAAGGTGCTGCGATGTGAAGACAAACACATTCCAAAGGGATCTCTCGTCAGGCCAGCTAGACTTCCTGTGGGTATCTTTGGATGTTGGCATGGGTAGGGGGAGGATAGAAACCAGCGGCAGAGTACTCAGGGACAGACTGGGGACTGTTGGCTTCCCCACCCTATGATTCTGTAGAGGGCTTTGGACTCCAAGTTCATCTTAATTTAAGCTTATGAGGGCATGGTTACTTTGAATTCTTTGTCATGGGTTCTCCAGTTGATAGCTGCCTCTTCAGGACACTTGAGGTTGGTACCCCTCTTTAAACACCTAGTTTATCTTTCTATGTTTCTTGCCCACAAGGTCACTAGCTCTCCAGTCATTCCTTTAGGGTCCACTCTTGGCTAGCACTAAATAGATGCTCAGCATCAAGGGCAGCATTAATGAAGGATGATGGGCCCTGTGTGGAACTTTCTCTCCTAACTCATTTGTTTCTGTGGAAAGCACCTTATTGCTTTTCCTACAAATGAGCAATTTGTGCCAGGAACATTTGGTTCTGAAGTAGGTTTGGAGAGGAGCTGTGTGTATGTGGGTGGGGTGGGTGGGATGCTGAGGGGTTGGACAAGAGGGATTCTTGGAATAGCCAGCTTCAAACTCACCCATGTGTGACATCCACTGCGGAATGAGGGCTGTGCTATGTTGAGTCAGGAAAAGTGCAGAGGGCATGCTGGAGGAGGCTGCTGTGGTGCAGGCCTGGGAGATGAGTAAACTCACCCAGAGACCCCCGAACTGCTCTGATCTCAAGCAACAACTACAGACTGTGCTGAGTTTGGGCAAATAGAGGGAATGCGGCAGGTGAGGGCATTGAAGCACTTGGGGAGTCACAAAAATATGTCTGGTGGCTAGGAGGAAGAAACTGGTTGTTTCCAGTTTCAGAACACAGGAAGCATTGTTCTAAATGAAAGGAATGGATGGCAAAGATGGTCAGGGACAGCAAGAAGCACTCGGGACCAAGTTTGCTGAGCAAAAAGCCAGAGTGACCCCAGCAGAGGAAGCCATTATACTGTGGTCCGACACTGGTTCAGGGGACAGGAGCCTAGGATTCAGACTTCACCCTGACATTCACTAGGCCTGTGGTCCTAAGTCAGACAAGGCTTCTCTGGGCCCAAATGTCCATTTGAGACTAGGTGGGTCACATGGCTTGGAAACTATTGTCTGCAAGCTGCTTCTGCCCCCTCCTCGACCCGGGTAGGGCTGTAGACTGCTTTCCGACATCCCTTTCTTCCCTGCATACTGTCACTTACAAAGCACAGGCCGCCCTTACGATGGGAAAGTGATAGCTCCCAGCCCGGCTCCATTCGAACCCGCTCCCAGAGGTTAAAGGCTAGTTATTAAGGCAGTTTAAGAAATGGACATTCCTCTCGCTCCCCGGATCCTCGTGCGTTCTGCTAACCCCAATGCAGCAGAGAGAGGCTGACGGAAGTGCTAGGGGAGCAAGGGAGCGGTCCGGCTTTCTGGGTGCCATCTTGCTCCGGAAGTTCTCCCGCACCCCTTCGGTGCTCACCACCTTTCTTTGGAGAAGGCCTCTGTCTGGACGAGGTCGCCAGGGTGCTCAGGGATGCACGAGCCGTTGAGATCACCCAGTTTGTTTTCCGGTAGGTCCTCGGGTTTGGTGCAGAGCTTTAGAGCACGCGAGATGAACACATCTAAGTCGAACTGGGGGCTGGCACCCCCATCGATGGGTGTCGGGTGTCCCGGGGGCGAGGCAGAGAGGCGGTGCTCTGGGGCATCAGGGGGAGGGCTGGCACGCTCGGGGCCACTTTGCGTGCTCTTGACCCACTGAGCGATCTCTAGGAAGAGGCTGGTCGGCTCATCCTCACGTGACACCGGGTCGGCAGCTACCGCAGCCATGGGGGGCGCGCCGGCTGCCTGCTTCCAATGCGACAGGTCCAGGATGAGCTTGGGTTCTGAGTAGTGGTGGGGCTTGTTGTCGCGCCACAGTAGCTTATCTAGGTAGGATGGGGACCCCACCTTGTAGTCGCAGGAGCGCCCATAGTCGGCCTCGAAGGCGCGCTCCATGGACGAGTGGGACTGCTCCAGGAAGCGCTCGGAGCTGCTTTGCGAGTCCTTGCGTGGGTCCACCTGCACATCCTCAGCCAGCGGTGCAGAGCCAGCACGTGGGTCACGCTGCACCTCGCTAGCATCCTGGCACCGGTCTGGTCGCCACTCCAGATCTGATGACAGGCTCACAGGATACCTGCAAGGGTGCAAATGGAGATGCGATAGTACACCCAGGAGGGATGGGGAACCAAATTGCCTTATCCCCTGCCTGCCACTGCATGGGGCCTGGGATTCTGCACTTCTAACAGGCTCCCTTATTGTTGCTGCTGATCCTTGGACCACATTTTGAGGGACAAACCCTAAAGAGTGCTTCCTAACCTTGGCTCAGGTTTGAATCACACAGGAGGATTAAAACTAAGTACCAGGTATCCCTTGCTGCCCACTACCAATGTTCTGGTTTAATAAGTCTAGATGGCCCTGCCTGGGCATGTTTGTGAGACTTCCCTCAGGGATTCTAAGGTGTAGCCAGGGCTGATAAAACCTCTGCCACGGCGGATCTGGACAGGTGCCCCGTAGCACCTTGCATCCAAGCAGAGCAGATGGGGGCCTGCAGAAAGATCACAGACACCATCAGGGGAGGCCAAAGATCCTTGGAATTCTGCCCTCCTATGACTGCTCTGAAGCCAAGGAGAGTGGGATCAGATAGCCAAGAGCAAACGAAGGGCAGATGGGCAGGCAGGCGGGCGGCTGGCTGGCAGCTCTGGCTGAAACCCTTTCTCACACCAGGTGCTATGGTGAGGAACACAGACAAGGTGGCAGCTCCTGGCCAGCTGCCCCCTGAGCTAGAGGCCTGGTGCTCACACAGGACAATTAGACCAGCCAAGGCCGAGCAGCTGCAGCCCAGAGACTATGGGGGTACTCTGGCTCTGGCTGGAGAGGTAGGGGAAAGGCTCGAGTTGCCCACCTCCCAGGAATATCATTAACGGAGGCATGGTTCTCAGAGTTCAGCACTGCCCTTTCCCTGAACGGCCTTGAAACTGCAGGGGTTTCTAGGAAGAAGAGCTGGGAACCCCCGTTATACCCCAAGTGCTGGTCATACGTTCTCAATCGCCTTTGCAGCCATCCTGAGGGGACTTGGGATTGCCACAGCCTTAAAGATGAGACAATTAGCATACCACACACGTGAAGGCCACTGCAGCGGGGCCATGGACTTTATCATCCTGGTCCCTTGTGCAGCTGTGGTGGAGAAGGCAGGGGGCAAGAGTGTCCGGCTTGATACTATCCTAAACAGACAAGCAGTGACCTTAGTGACCCTGCTACAGTCTTTCCTGGTGCCAATCCAACATTGTGTGCCCTGAATTCTGTGGCATGGAGCGGGGTGGGGGTGGGGGGAGACGACACAAGTCTAAGAACCACAGTCTAGGGCAGCCCCAGCATGAAGCTGGTAGAAGAGTCTCTAAACTGCTATTTGCTGACAAGAAGAAGCTAGCAAACCTGCCCCAAATAACAGTGCCCTGCCCCCTCTTTGCACCCCCTCAATTTGAAACCTCTCATCTGTCAAATGACTGAAAAAAGAGAAATTGCCTATCTGTCACTTATGTAACAAGCTGTCACATTCCCGTGGCAGCGGGGCTCCCAGTTAGCCCCCTTGGAGTTGACACAGCTAAGCACCCACCCTCTCCACTGCCTTTTCCGAACTGAGCAGTACTGACGCTGCCTCCCCTGGTGCCTGATCGGAGAAAGCCAGGACAGGAAAGGACCTGTGACATCCCAGTATTCCCGCAGGAACGGTTTACAAATCTACTCTCTAACACTGACACACCTGTCAAAGACCCTGAAGTTAAGCGAGGCTCCGCAGTAAAGCTCTTAGTAGCGTGGGACACGGGTACAGTTTGGGGATGGCCCTACGCGGGTTTGCTGTGTATCATGATGCCAGCGCCTTAACCTCTCTCAGCTGTGGCTTTCTCACAGACTGTAATAATGTCACAGCCTCCTTCAAGGGCGCTCTCGGCGGGAGGTGTGAATGATGTGTGAAATGAGAAATGTGTTGTGACAGGGAATTCTGCATTGTTTTCTTGCATTGTCCTATTCGGCCTTTCAAGGGCAGAATCTCGACTGAAGATGTGGTGCAGTGGCAGGGTAGTTGGGTAGCATACGCCAGGAGGAAAAACTCCAGCCTGCTGTTCACGGAGTATTTCAGAGGACACTCACCAACACTTGGCCCTTGTGCACTGAGCTTATGTTCAGTGGTCTTAGGGTGTCAAGGAGAGCCGGGAGCAATGTTCTGCAGAGTGGAAGTGCCTGACTCCCTAGTAGGCACCTAGGTGGCTACTCACTGGGAATGTTTTGGGGACAGGAAAAAGGCAGGGAACTAAGCTGGGGAAAATGCCCAACGCAATATACAATCTGGGAAACAGAGGTCACGGAGGATCAGAGGCAAAACGGACGTGAGAGAATAAGGGGGCTTGGCTCTGGACACCAGCCTTGGCCACGCACCTGTCCCAGTTGGAGAGCTGGCTCTGACTGGCGGCCATCAACACGATGTCATCGATCTCGTCTTCAATGCGGAAGGGGTGCTGTGAGGTGGGTTCATCCTCGGGGCACGAGTAAGGGCTCATGTAGGGGTGCTGCAACCCCATCTCTGCAGTTAAGCGGTCCATGGGGTTAAAGGTCAGGATCTTCTCCAGAAAGTCAATGGCTGTAGGGAGCAAAGGCAGGCGCACAAAGGTCATGTGCTGCTCCTGTCAAGCTGAGAAGACTTAGCATGGTGACAGCCCCCTGGCACCTTCTAACTTTGTGTTCGCAGAAAGTGTTTTCTTGGTTTTGCAACCGAACAAAACGGAACGGCAGATGGATAAGGTGATGTGCTGAAGGTCTCACTGCTGGGCAGAGGCCACAGCTGGCCTTACACTGGACTGCTCTAAACACAGGGATTGGGGACAGTTAGGGGTTATTCTTGAGACACAGATGCTCAGTTCCGTTGGGATCCTCCTGGAGACAGCCGGGACAGCTCAGAGGGGTGGAGAATCTAGGGTATTCAAACACCACCCCCATTGACTGCGTTGAGGACTTCTGGAGGAGGGGCAAGAGCCCATGGGAGAAAGCCCTGCTGGGAAAAGTGAGTGTGGAGGTGTGCAGAGGGAGAGGGAGGGACAAGGGATATGCATGCCATGGCTCCTGTCTGAGGCCAGAGTTCTTTCTACAATATGTCACCCCCAGAATTCTCACCAAGACAGGTGACTTAATCAATACTCAGAAATACTCAGCACTCAGTTAGCAGTACCCTCCTGTGCTTGGCAACCACCCACCAGTGACTAGGTACAGGGGACTCTGTCGGAGCAGAGTCATCTAGGAAAGGAAGGTGGAGTCTTATCACGGCAGTAACCATTTGCCAACCTGCGTGGCCGTCCACTCAGCAGCTGACAGTTATCTGGGGTGCGCTGGCTGGGCAGTGTCCTGTATCCAGCGGCTAGTGTGCATCCCCCTGAGCAGGACTGTGCCCCGGTTCATCTCAAGGCATGGCCTGGCTTAGGGGCTTGTAGTGCTTCTCACCCCTGTCATTTCACTGGCTCCATTTGGGTCATGTTCCCCCCCACACAGTGGGGGAGATGGAGCTGAGCTCCAAGCCCGAGTTCCCTACTTTTAGTGTTCCTCAAACCGGCTCCTCACAACAGCCCTAGACCTCTCTGTGGGAAACATTCCCAACAAGGTGTGAAGTCAATGGCTTCAGGTTACCGGCTTCTCAAGAGGACATAGTGGCCTTGAATAACCCTGGGTTGGAAGGACCAGTTAAGCAGCGGAGACTCTGAGTCCTTCCTGATTGATGCTCAGAGAGTCTTTGGCTGCAGACCTGGAAGAAATGCCACCTCAGAGTGCTCAGGACTGCACAAATCCAGGCAGGGTACAGCTCCAGGCTGGCAAGTCTTTCCTCTCTGGGCTTCCCCTGAGTCTCACCTGTTACCCATGGCCTTGAACAAGGCGACAGAGCACTAAAGCTCCACACTCCATTGCCATCTTTATCAAAAAAGGCCAGTGGAACTGGGAGGGGGAAACACCATCCCCAGGCTGCTCCAGCAACAGTGAGATTGCCCTCATCCCTCTCTGTGACAGCCCAGGCGCCAACCAGTGCCCAAGACAGAAAAGCCTTCTATCAACCTTAGATCTGCCCCCTTTAACTTCACCCCTGGACTTAGCTCTGCTGTCGCTGGTTCCGGGAACCAAGGTGACCCCTCTGTCTTACAGTTGCCCTTTGTTTTAAGATATTGATTGTATATCCCCTACAAATCCCTTCTCATGGCACCCCACTGACCTGCCTCTTCCAGACACTCCTGTAGTGGAGGCGGCTTGTGACTGGGGTCATTCTGGACTAATATATGTATCCTACTTCAAGCCCAACCCCAACTCCTACAGGAGTCTATGCCGACTACTGGCTTCTGTTGGGTGTGGTTGCCCAGGGCAGCCTTGCAGGCTTTCTTTAGATAGCAGATCTGAAGGCCTGGGTCCTGGTGGAGTCATTCAGTCCCCTTAAATAGCTTAAGACATTTCTTGCATAATGAGGCTTCTGTATAATTATGCCACCTTCCTCTGGCTCACTGCATCCTACCCAGGGCTCTTAGCGCCCCAGGCATACTGGAAGGATTTCCCTCTAGCAGGTGAGTTAGGACTTGGCTCATCACCTTGCTTTGCCCATAGCACTCCTTCTATGTGTTTGTGCATCAAGCTTTCTTACCAGATTTGCCCCTTTGGGTGTATTTACTTGTGAATCTACCCAACTAGATGCAGACACTATGGCATCAGGTCCTACCTCCCTGGTCTTTCATCTGTCATGTGATGGTCACTCAAACCTGCTGAGTGATGTTGTCACCTAGCTGGAATCTCTTACCCTCTGAGGGTACATCCAGCCAGGCAGATTCTTTGGCTTCTCCTGGCTTTGGAGATCTCGAATATACCAGCAAAGGGGACAACATTGAAAGCCACCATGGTTCCACTGGGCTTCTTATCCCTGCTGCTAGTTCAAGTCCATGACGTTTCATTACCTCAAGACCAGTGGTTGCTGGGGTTATCTTTTAAGACAAAGAGGGAGACTGGGAAACACGCACAGTGGGAGGTGAAGCCAGCAAGGCTTCAAGGGCATTTGGTCCGCTCCAGGATCAAGTGCAGATATAGAGAAGCTGGTCTGTGCAAGCCCATAGCCTCTGGGCCTGCCTTCTGCTTGACCACGACACTCATCCATTGAGTTCTCCACCTCCTCCAGCCCTGCTTTTCGAGCTTTCCCAGCATCTGGTGCCTCCCTCTTGCTCCCCCAACCCCTCAGCAGTCCCTAGGATGTACTCCTTGCCAATCATACTCAACTGGGAAGCACTTCTTTGTCTTGGGGTTAGACCGCCTTATGTCTCTTTGATTTCTTGTGCCTAATTTGGTTTCCCAGCTTCAGGGGATTCTCAAATGTTGACTACCTATGACAAGAAGCTTTGTCTTTTGTCACGTACTGACTTTGTCTGGAGGCAGCATCCACCCCTCTCGGAGCCACAATGGTGAGGGTCTGCTGGGTGTGGCTGCTTGCAGACAAATGGACCGGGCAACGAAGTTTAGATCCAGAATTCCTGGAGCTAAGGCACTGGCTCTGTTTCCCTACCTTTCTCTGGGGGAAGAGGGTGCTGTGGGATGTTCTGTATGGCAAATGTGTTGCTGATTAGTCAATAAATAAAACACTGATTGGCCATTGGTTAGGCAGGAAGTGTAGGTGGGACAAGGAGGAGAATAAAGCTGGGAAGTGGAAGGCTGAGTCAGAGAGACACTGCCAGCCGCCACGATGACAAACAGCATGTGAAGATGCCAGTAAGCCATGAGCCATGTGGCAAGGTATAGATTTATAGAAATGGATTAATTTAAGCTGTAAGAACAGTAAGCAAGAAGCCTGCCACGGCCATACAGTTTGTAACCAATATAAGTCTCTGTGTTTACTTGGTCGGGTTTGAGCGGCTGTGGGACTGGCAGGTGAGAGAGATTTGTCCTGACTGTGGGCCAGGCAGGAAAACTCTAGCTACAAGAGGGCCACACCCTAAGCTGGCAGCATTGTAAGAGGTGTCCGAGTGCTTGAGTGACCTTGTAGAGCAAATCTACCACATTGGCCCAGATCACTTGCCATCACGTTATAATGTGAGAGAACAATAAACTTCAAAAAACATTTTTTCTCAATAAGAAATCTTACTCAAGCCATTGGGATCTTGGCTCTCTCATAAAATGGGCTGAAGTTGGATCCCATCTGTATGTGAGACCCACTGATGATGTAGCACATACAACCTACAGAACAACTCTTTTGTACCACGGGCTTTGCTGAGCTCATGTTACAAGCTCATGTTAATTGTTACATCCACCCCACTGTGGTTTGGATTGGAAATGTCCCCCAAAGATGGGTGTTGAAGGCTTGGTTCCCAGAACAATGATATTCGGAGAGGCCTTTTAGAAAGTGGCTGGGTCAGGAGGGCTCTGACCTCACCTGTGGGTCCACCCATTAGTGCATTCACAACTATAGACTATTAGGTGAGCATTTGGTGTTTGATTAGAGAAAGTGGGTCCTTGGGGTGTATTCTACAAGGGTGTATCCTGTTGGTGGCCATTTGCTCATGCTCTCGTGTGCATACCACCCTCCTCTTGTGCCTGGCTCATGAAGTGAGCAGCTTTGTTCTCTCATGGCCCTTCTACCATGATGTTCTGATTCTCAGAGACCCAGAAACAAGGAGGCCAAGTGATTGAGACTCGGATACTGTGAGCCAAGATGAGCCTTCCCTCCTTTGGTGTCTCTTATGTATTTTGTCACAGTCAGGGAAAGCTGACTAATACATGCTCTATTTTACAGTTAGGGAAACCGAGGCTCAAGGAAGTTAAGTAGTCTGCTCAAGATGACACAGCCAGCTAGTCCCTGGGAACTGAGCATGCGTCTAGCCCTGAAGCTGAGGATGTACACATTCTCTGCATTGCATCAGGCTTCCAGAGGAGAGAAAAGCAAAGGAGGCAGGCAGTAAGTAGAGCGTGGAGGCCCACTAGTGACCGCCTCAGGGACTGCCACGTGGTCAGGAATCTATGGTCTGAAAGCACAGGTTGACCATCCTTTATCCAAAGTGTTTCCCACCTGAATCTTCTTTTGAATTTCAGATATTTTCTTTTTTAAAAAATATCTATATACTCCTTATTGGTTGGGAACCCCCAATCCCAAAAATCTAAACACCTAAGTGTTCTAAAATGTGAAACTCTTTGAGCTTGTAGCTAGGAAAAGCACCAGCTGCTAGGGGTGCTTGGTGTCAGAATCTCCTGTTCTGCTCTTTGGATGGAGGCCCACATGCCCTTTGCCCTCGCCCCCAAAGGTAAAGCCAGAACTCCGCCTCTTGGGATGGTGGCCTGGTGCAGGCTTGGGTACCTTCGCTGTTGACATCAGGGAGCAGCTTGCGCAGTGGCCTCTTCACCTCCCAGGTGCTGTTGACAAAGGACGGCATCACCCTGAGCAGCTCCTCCTTGTCTTCCTCCCGGACCACAGGGATGGTCTCTAGGATGAGCTGCATCTGCTCCAGCTCGTGAGCCCCTGGGGAGGCAAATGCCACACGGGTAAGTTGTTTCCCTGGACAGCTGCATCTGAGGATGCTCCAGAGCAGCTCCAGCTGGCTAGAGAGGGAACACCATGGGGCAGCAGGCAGCCCCAGGCTCGGAGCCGAGGGACTTGGCTTCGAATATCCACTCTACAACTAAATTAGCTGTGGGCATTGCAGAGTGCTTGCTGTCTTCGGGGTTGGCTTTGTTAAATGTAAAAAAAGCAGGGATTTCTTATGGTGGAACATGAAATGTCCTTGAAGGGCTCATGTATTTGAACACTTGGACCCCAGTGGGCAGTGCTGTTTGGGGGAGATTGTGGACTTTCGTGACATAGGGCTTATTTGGCTGGCAGAGGCCAACGGGGGAAGGTCTTGTGGGTAAGAGCCCTGCTTCTGACCTGAGTTCTCTGCTTCCTGTCCACCACTGAGATGTGGAACAGCTGCACAATAAAGCTCCTGCTGCCACTGACCAGGCCACGCCAGCCACCAAGCCTTCCCTGCCGTGACACTATAAGCCAACACGAACTTCTGCTCCCTTAAGGTGTTTCTGTCAAGTATTCTGTCACAGCCAGTAATCAGGGAAGTAGCTCATCCAGGCTTGTATCTAGTTCTCTCTGAGGCTTGTCTATTCCACTAGCATCTGGTGTCCCATGTGGACCGAGTCGGCGGCTGATGCTAAGGCGATGGGAGCAGCCGGGCTATGGCTTTGTGCGCTCTCTACTAGGTTGGGGAAGGAACAATTATAAGGCTAGGATGAGCCTTAAGTTTCCACAAGGAGGACCCCATCCAGAAAACTCTCAGGCGTAAGAAAATAAGGAGTAACTGGTTGAGTTTGGAAGGCCCTTTGAGCACATTCCCTGTGTGGGCCCAGGGAGGAAGGTGGGGTCCTGCCAGGTCTGAAGGAGAAATGGTCGGGCAGGATAGAGGCAAGCATTCATTCATCCATTTGCTCATTCATTCAATAGTTGTGTATTGAGTTCTGTGGTGGTTTGAGTGAGAATGGCCCCCACAGTCCATCCTTTCAAGTTTGAATATTTAGTCACCAGGGAGTGGAACTGTTTTGGAAATGGTTAGGAGGTGTGGCCTTGTTGGAGGTGTGTCATCAGTCCCAATATCTATCTATCTGCTCCCTGCGGAACAGGATGTAAAGCTCTCAGCTACTGCTCCAGCACCACACCTGTCTGTTCCCCACCATGATGATCATGCACTAACCCTCTGAAACTGTAAGCAAGTCCCCAATTAAATGTTTTCTTTTATACGTTACCTTGGTCATGGTGTCTCTTCACAGCAATAGAATGCTAACAGGACAGGTAGGTGTCTTCCCTACGTCAGGCATCATACTGAATGTGCGAATTCTCCTCGCCGTCAGGCTGTTCTGCCCTCCATCCCCTCTTCTCAGCCTCAAGGCTCTTTCTGCTCCCCTCTGCCAGGCTGAACCCTCAGTCATACCTATCCCTCCTGGAAAGGCCTCCCCAGCCATCCACTTGCACAGGGAGCCCTTCACTGTCCACTGGCTTCTGCAGAACCCCAGTCTTCCAGCAGCTGATGGCTTAGGGGATATCATACCCTAGTGGCCCATCTAGCACTATAGTCAAGGGCCTACAGCTCTGGGAATTCCCTAAAAGATGCCTTTGGCCTCTCCCTGTCCTGCGCTCAACGAAAGTCATCTGTGGGACTCTAGGAGCCTTTTGCAGACTGTCCTCGCTGGATGAGCACTTTAGATCATTCTCTAGGGGACCAGAAGGTCAGTGATGATCAAGTCAAAGACAGATGGTGGCATCACTTCCTCAGTAAGGATTGAGCTGGCAGGGAACTCTTCCTTCTCATTTGTGAGCTCCTGCTAGGGAGCAACTGTGTCCTATCAGAGACAGTGAGTAGGGTCTCATGATCTATGCAGGGGGCAAAGGGCAGAGATCTTGGAGTCAGGGAGACCTGGCTATCCATCATCTCTCTTGCAACACCTTATAGATGGAGGATGACTTCTGACATTTGGAATGATTGGTAAAAGGAACCCATCCTGTTGGCACACCAGGGGTGCCAGCTCATGGCAAATGTATGATAAACCCTGGCTTCCACTGCTTTCTAGAGCTGGTGGAATGTGAATTCCTCAGAGAAGCCAATGACATAAATTCATGTGGAAAATTGATGACCTAATTGATGATCATCCCTGGTGATCTTTGGTGACAGATGTCACTTGTGGGGGAGGCAAATTAACATTGTGAGTTTATTAAGGAACCATTTAAAACTGGGAGCAGTGTGGTGCTGTGGGATGGTCTGTATGTCAAATTACTCTGATTGGTCAATAAATAAATCACTGATTGGCCAGTGGCCAGGCAGGAAGTACAGGCGGGGCAAGGAGGAGAATAAAGCTGGGAAGTGGAAGGCTGAGAGAGACACTGCCAGCCGCCACGATGACAAACAGCATGTGAAGATGCCGGTAAGCCACGAGCCAAGTGGCAAGGTATAGATTAATGGAAATGGATTAATTTAAGCTGTAAGAACAGTAAGCAAGAAGCCTGCCACGGCCATACAGTTTGTAACCAATATAAGTCTCTGTGTTTACTTGGTCGGGTCTGAGAGGCTGTGGGACTGGCAGGTGAGAGAGATTTGCCCTGACTGTGGGCCAGGCAGGAAAACTTTAGCTACAGTGTGGTGCTGTTGTGACCTCTCTCCCTTTTCTTCTGATGTGTCCTTAGGGTCAGAGACAACCTGACTAGCTGCTGGCTTTCCTACCTCCCTTGTAATGAAGCCCTCTGGCTGTCACTGTCTGCCTCAGCATAAGGAGGTCAGCTGTGCATTGCTTTGGTTCTCCGACACTGTAGTCAGAGGGACTGGGGCTGGTTTAGAACTGCGAGAGGTGGGAACTAGGGGAGGTTGGAGGGATCCAAGACAGAGGAAACAGTAGACCAAGAAGCAGGTCTGGAGACCTGGCCAAAGAGGGAGGTAGAAGCTGCTGGCTCAGAAGGAGCAGGGGACAGTTGCTGCTAACCAGCCTGGCAGGATGAGGGTAAAATGGGTTCTCCTGGATTAAGAACAGTCAGGCCTGTGGTCTGAGTGCACAGAGCGTCCATGGCCACTATTTAGAGTTTACTGGGTCTTCAGTAGCTTAATGCACTGAAGAGTTCATAGCTGGAGCAGGAGGTGGGTGCTATTTGGAGGAAGCAGCTTACTGTAGGTATGCATTGGAAGGGTGCATTTTATTTCTGGATCTCTCTCTCTCTGCACCTTTCCCCCACATTGCCTTTCCACCATGACATCTCTGCCTTGCCACAGGTCTGAAGGATTACAACCAGCTGCACAGTAACTGATACCTCTGAAACTGAGTCAAAGTTAAGCCTGCCTTCCTCTTAGGTCGCTTCTATCAGGTATTTGTCACTACGACGACGCAAAATGACTGAGACAGCTGAGCTAGGGGGTGAGGGGAGACTGGACAGGTGTAAGTGGAGACTGCAACCGCTCCTCCAGGCAAAGATCGGGAACAAGGGTGAGGATGAAGTGTGGGACCGCCAGGAGGGATGGATGACCACCTGGGGGCGTTAGCAAAGCCATCATGGAGGACAGGACACAAGTAAGGCTTCAGTGGGAGTTTTCCAAGCAGAGAAGGGTTTAACTTTGTGTCAAGGTAAAGAAAGTCTTGACAGATGATTAGGGAAGCAAAGGGTTACTCGGTGGGGCTATAGGATGGGGGACAGAATGTCAGGGAGGGAGGAGGAAGAGCCTGAAAACACTGAGTGGTTGTTTTTAGTGTTTAGTCTGAAGGTGCTGGAGTATAAGTGCATTTTAGTTCACTGTTTAGCTGCTACAACAAAGCAGCTAAACAGCTAACATTTATTTCTTGAAGTTCTGGAGGTGGACATGTCCCAAGTGAAGGCACTGGCAGATTCAGTGACTACTTAAGGGCTTGCTTCTCCTAAATGGTGCACTCCTGCTATGTCCTCGCATGGTGTAAGGGGTGAGGGAGCTCTTCTAAGAGGACAAACCCCACAGACTGCTTCCCTTAAGCCCCATTTCTTTGCATACTACACTGAGGTGGTGGCTTCAGACCATTGGAAAACGGCTAGTCACTTGCAAAAGTCCTGTGCTCAGAAGGCTACGTTGAGCTTTTATAATATTTTTATATGAAATTATAGTACTATATCTACAAGAAGTACTGTAAAAAGCAAAGGAGTCATTTCAGCAAAAGAGGAGCAGGTTTTGGGCTCAGCGAGTGTTTTGTGCAGAGCTCGGACAACACCAGAAAGGAAGCATGGGGCAAGCCTTGGTAAGCAACTTACCAGCGAAGAGCATCTTCCCCGAGAGCATCTCAGCGAGGATGCAGCCAGCTGCCCACATATCGATGGCTTTTGTGTAGTTGTTGGGGGACAGGAGCAGTCGTGGAGAGCGGTACCACTTTGTCACCAACCCTTCTGACAGATAACCCTAAAAGATAAAGTTCCCCTATATTATCAGCCAGAGACCTGCAGATATTATCCATCCCTCCATCCCTCTTGGTTTCCCCTCCAGAGAAGACTGGAGCTGCTTTCAGAATCCCTCCTGTCCTTGTTCCTTTTCTCTTGATCATAGGTTCAGGGACCTTATGAGGCTCTGGGATTCTTCCTTGTGGGAGGGAGGGATCCAGGGCATCATTGTTTCGGAAGGAATGGCTTTCCACACCCCTTGATATAACCAAGTCTGCTCACACTGGTAAGGAGATAGGTCAATGGCAGCCATGTGCTCAAGTTCTTTGCTGCCCTCAACCGCCATGATAAAAACACTGGAACTGTCTGGTGGCCGAATCTGAGAAGCAGCCACAGATCGGAAATTGAGCCAGTGGCACTGGTACTGACGATGGGAATGAACAATGCCCCAACAGGTACCAGGCAGGCCCCTGATGAGCACAAGAAAGACCTTAACAGATACAGGCAACTGACGCACGCACCAAAGCAGCCCTGAGTCACAAGGCAGCCAGGGCTCCTACAGATCCAGGAGACCCTGGGGATTCTACAGAGCTAGAGCAGTGGTTCTCAACCTCCCTAATGCTGCAGCCCTTTACTACAGTTCCTCATGTTGTGGTGACCCCCAATCATAGAATTATTTTTGCCACCACTTCCTAACTGTCATTGTGCTACTGTTACGAATTGTAATGTAAATATTTTTTTGGAGATAGAGGTTTGCCAAAGGGGGTCGTAACCCACAAGTTGAGAACTGTTCTTGAGGGCTAGATATTCTGGCTGATTTGGGTCGCTGTATTATGATATGTAGTCTGGGACAGAATTGGTCCTAATTGTACATGGTGATGATCTTTTATGCACAGACAGGGAAATATATTTAGGAAACACAGAACTTGTCTTCTGTGTAATTCAGAAACTGGGCCAGACACTGAAGCCAGACTGTCTATGAGGACTTCCCGGAATGGTTCATCATTGAAGGAAAAGCACAAACTCATTTGTAGGTAAATATTAAGACCAAGGGGCCCTAGGAAATTCTGGGATTGGTCTTGCTATTTGCTGTTGCTCCTAGTTTGGCATCCAAATGTTTCTTTGTTCTGATATTGAGTATCACAGACTGAGGTTAACGCAGACAAAAAAATGAGGAAGCCCACAGACCCAGGAGCCTCTGATGCATTAGTCTGACGCCTCTTCACTGGTTGAGCAAAGACTGAAGAGCGGGTCCAAGACTGGTGGGAAAAGGGAGGACTATGGGGATTGTCTGTAATACTGTCATATACAGATCTGTGGTTTTGCTCCTGGCTCCTACTTCCCAAGTCAGGCCATGGCCACTAGAATCCTTCCCACCTAGGGCAGCTAACAACAGCTCTGATTTTCCTGCACCTGTCTTGGAGTTGGCCATAAAGACATCCTTGGATCTCTTCTTGTCCATAATTGGCCATAAAGGCGTCCCTCATTTTTGAGGGTTCCTGCTCTGCAAACCAGAAACAAGCAGGCTACGAAGAAACCAGGAAGAATCCAGGTCCCCCCTCAGTCTGTGAGCATTTCCTCCTACTTTTTAAAAATATTTTAACTTTTGGTCCAGTCACCTTTCTACAGAATTGCATACATTTCAGTCATGCTTACTCAATGACGTCTCTATGCAAATAGAAGGGACAGGGGACCCTGAAGGTAGTGTGCCCAGAGAAAGCCTAGACGTGCCACACCTCTTCACCATATTTCACCCTACTGCATCTCCTCATCTGTACTCTTTAAAATTCAACCTGTGGATGTGTTTTCCTGAGTTCTATGAACCACTGTACCAAATGAGCCCAACCCAGGGAGGGGTCATGGGAGCTTAGCTAACCAGTCACAAGTTCCAGAAGTTCTACCTGGTACTGCTGTCTAAAAGTAGGGACACTCTGGTGGCACCGAGCCCACCCAGTGGGATCTGATGTTATCTCCAGCTAGACAGCATCCAGGTTAAAATGACTTTGAAGACCTTGTACTGACTAGTTTTATGTCAACCTGACACAGGCTAAAAATATTTGAGAGATAGGGAATCGCAATTGAGAAAATGCCTCCATAGGATTGGGCTGCAGGCAAGCCAGTAGAGAACTTTCTTAGTGATTGATGTGGGAAGGCCCAGTCCATTGTGAATGGAGCCACCCCTCAGCGGGTGGTCCTGGGTTCTATAGGAAAGCAGGACCATGGAAGCAAGCCAGTAAGCAGCTCCTCTCCATGGCCTCTGTATCAGCTCCTTCCTCCAGGTTCCTGCTGTTTCAGTGCCTGCCCTGACTTCTTTCAATGATGTGAACAGTGATGTGGAAGAGTAAGCTGAATAAGTCCTTTCTTCCCCAAGTTGCTTTTGGTCATGATGTTTCATCGCAGCAGTAGAAACCCTAACTAAGGCAGACATCTAGCTGGTGGTCCTGGCGAACAGTTTACTTGCTGGCTCCATAATCATGTTTTCGAGTCACAAAAGAACACTTCGTTCTTTGGGGAGTAGACAGGAGGAGGAAATGAGTGGGACTTCATTTTCCTCTCTCTCCTCAGGATACCCTTTAGCTAGAAATGACTAAAATAGGACCATCTCTGGCCTCCATGTCTAACTTGCAGCATTAGAAGCTGCTTCTCGCTCTCCTCACATCCATTGGATGGATGTCATCAGACCTGTGGCCCTTCCTGGCTAACACACCTAAGACAGTGTCATCTCCAGAGCTCCTCAGATGCCACCCCACCCCTTCCCTAAGAACACTGGATGATGTGACCCTCATGGGGAGTCGCTCTGGCTTGTTCCACTGCTGCTTCGACCTTGCCCAGTCTCGTCTGTCTCCTTGGAAGCACGACAAAACACTATGAGGAACTAAACAAGGGGCTGAGTACCACCCTGCTTGTGTGGCCTGAGCCCCTTCAAACGAGAAAGCTCTGAAGGATTCAGTGGTCCTTCTCTTTGACACACTCAACCTCAGGGTCAGTTCCAAATCCTACTTTCAAAGGTGGATGGGGAGGCTGCTGTGGGATGTCTTTCTGTACGCTGTGAATATGTGTTGCTATGATTGGTTAATAAAGAAGCTGCTCTGGCCTATGGTGAGTCAGGTTATAGCCAAACAGGAAATCCAAGAGAGAGACAGGAAGAAAAGAGGCAGACAGACGCCAGCCGCTGCTGAAGGAGCAGCAAGATGCCAGTAGACTGGTAATGCCACAGCCACGTGGCAACTTATAGATGAATAGAAATGGATTAAGTTATAAGAGCTAGCTAGCAAGAAGCCTGCCATAGGCCACACAATTGTAAACCTCTAAGTGATTATTTTATAAGCAGATGAGAAAGCTCTGGTGGGAGAGATTTGTCTGGACCCTGGAGCTAGGCAGGACCAAGAAACTTCCCCCTATAGGAGGCTATCTAGGGTTGACAGTTCTCATGTTTTGCCTTGCTCCAAAATAAGGATTAGTGAGTATAATTATTACAATAGTTTCACTTTTTAAAAGTCAGGTTTATTGAGACATAATTTTCACACAGTATAATTTACCCTTTCAGTGTGTATGGATGTGTTGTCTGCACATTTACAGCAGTACCACCTCAGGGGCCAGAAAAGGACATAGGATCCCCTGGAACTTTACAAAGAGTTAAAGTGTTGCAAGCCACCAAGTGGGTGCTGGGAATTGAACCTAGGTCCTCTGGAAGGGCAGCCGTGATCTTAATCACTGGGCCACCTCTCCAGCCAGGTTCTGTGAGTTTTGTCAAGGATGCCTCTACCATCCTAGTCTTGGTATTTCATAGTTCAGTTATCTCCAGCAATTCCATCATGTCTCCTTCTGACCATTTCTAGGCCCAAGCAGCCCCGGCAGTCACCATTTTCTGTTCCCCTGGGGTTTTGTATTCTTCAACATTACTTATCTGTTGAGAAAGTCTCACTATGAAGGTTGGCCTTGAACCCCCATTTTTATTTTTTAAACAAATAGTTTATTTATATGTGCACAACTATTTGCCTGCATATATACTTATGTGCACCAAGTGAATGCCTGATGCCTATGAAAACTAGAAGGAGGCATGGGATCCCCAGGAACTGGAGTTCCAGACAGTTGTGCGCCACCATGTGGGTGTTGGGAACCAAATCCATGTCCTCTTAACCACTCCACCATCTTGGCCCCAGCCTCGAACCCTTGATGCTCCGGCTTCTGCCTCCTGAGTGCTGAGATGACAAGTACTCACCGTGGACCCAGCCGTCTCCTGGATTCACTCCAAATACGATACCGAATACGTAGAACCAGTTCCTAGCCTTTTGAGTTTGACACTCTTCACTTAGAACAGGACGTCAGAGACTCGCCCTCGCCATGTGGACAGTGGCTCTCTGTGACTGTGAAAACCACAGGGAGAAGCCACCGTGTCCGTAGCAGCTCTTGACTCCTGTGTGGCTGGCTGGGTTACAGAGGAAGAACGGCTTGGTTTTGTTTTCTAGCCAGAGGCTGGAACTGACAGAACACTAAAGCACAGTACCCACTGGGGAGGTGGCTCAAGAGCTTTCTTTCGCCAAGTAGATAAGCAGACCTGTATTGAATAGAATGTTCTGGAAGCAGTCTACCTCACTGTAGAGTCTAGGACTGGAAAAAAGTGAGGACATAGAGCCTCCATCTGAAACACCTGCTCATTTACATGACAAGACTGCTCATAGGCTACACTTATGGACTAGTTTGTGATACAAGCTAAGACAGTTCCTTACTTTTCAATGTTGCTGGATTAGTGACAACAGCTATTTCCTTATGGATGCTGGTCCCCCAAAGTCTTTTAAAAAAAAAGATAAATGGGGGTGTATTGAGAAGCCACTGGGCATGGGAGGATCCGGGAAATCACGGTGTCTTCTGCTAAGCCCTGTCCCGAGAGAATGCCTGGGACAAACAGGAGGCCCACTCTAGATGGGAACAAATGACGGTGCTCCATTCCTGGGTCTAGGGGTTGAGCACTGGGGCCAGGGAATCCTGGCTGGATAAACCCTAGAGAGCTGATTGGTGGAA